TCTTCTCTGTCTCTCTCGTCACAAGCTTCAGCTTATTCAACGGGACGCTCAGTCTATATTTACTGTGTCTATGCCTAAGTCATACAAAAATACAAAAAGTATCCAGTTACCAGAGCAACAAGCGTACACTAATAGACTACCGTTGCCGGAAGCTAAAATCGAAATTTTAAAGCTGTTTTTAAAGTGGGTGCCAGAAGAACGTTAATTTCTATACCAGGACATAATTAAGTATCATGGAACTAAGCAGCCTAGAAAAAAGTAATTATTTTTCTACTATTTTGTGTTCCCATAATTTGTCTTTTTTGTTCATAAACGTTAATTGCTAAATCTGGTTGTTTATTTTAGAAAGTCCCTAAGTCGATATTTTCAAAATTAATTTTTAAAAACTTACCAACATTACGTTACTTGCTTTCCTACATGTAAAATAAAATGTGTCATTGTCAACTAACAATAAGTAAGGCACTCATTTCCTAAAAATATCGCTGCAAACAGACGTGAATAGTTTTTTCACCTCTTGAAAATTTACAAAAAGTAGGGTGTTTCAGCAATACACGATTCAAATGTTTTCACGAATTGACAGTTCTAGGAGCAAAAGGTGCAAAAAAATTCAGAATCACTCCAGCATCTCCTTAATCGCGCCCGCGATCGATAGCGTCTTCCGTAATGCGAAATCAGCCGCGCGAAAAATGTTGTTAGCGCATGCCGGAGGAGCCGCTCGTATCATCTTATAGACACGTGTATCGGTAAAAGTTGTCCGTAGTCGGACTGAAAGAAGAAAAGTCGGGTCAAAGTGCGCGGAAGAATTCCTCTCGACTTCCTTCCGCTTTTAAGTGAGAATTTTGCAGATAACAGGATCGACTTTTGCGTCCGTGAAAATCGCACGGATAGATTATTCAGAGCGCTAAATGTCTTTCCCGTGTACTCGTCGAGGATTTTTTCCCCTCATTACGGATCCGCCTTCATTTTGAAGAGAGTAAAAACTAATTTCCGGACTAGAAATATCAATTTCTCTTTACGGATGTCGCGATGAATAAACGTGCGGATAAATGTCCATTAATACGTAACGATTCTCCAACAATACGATTACGCCGCCTTTTATCTCGCGCGTCTGATATCAGCTCTTGCCAGATTTTCGTGCCGGTTATCGGACCGTGTCAACATTGTAACGCAGCACACCTCGAATAAATGTAAAATGTTCGCGACGTGTACCGCAGAAGTTTAACCTGGTGGGAGATATGACTTTTTAAAGGCGGCGTCTCCTTTCAGAAGTTAAGTGAGACCACGAAAAGTTAAGCGAGCGTTACGACATCACAGACGCCGCTGTCGCTTTTCATACAACGTACCCTGTAACCTCCTAGATGTTTCACCAGACACGTGAAAGTGGCGTCCCTCCCGAGTGGCACGGTTAGATTGGTGATAGGGCCGGAGAATTCGGGTTGAAAAGCGCCTCCTGAAACGATAAAATACGTACGACGTTCGTGAAAAATACATACGCCATTTGCATACCGCGCACCGCCGGCAATTTTTCGACAGCGACGTCAATTCGCCGTCGTGCAGAATGCACTTTATGCGAAAGCGAATAAACGTCAGAAGGCTTGAATGCTACGCGACTCGGCGAGACGCGGGGGATGCGTCTCGCGACTGCAAATTAAACGCGCAGACGTCACGTCGAATTAACGAGAATCGCTGTCGTGTGCGCACCACTTAATGCAAACTTCCATATTCACGAGCAACGTTGATCGATGCCGGATCATCTTCATGCCTGTTCGCTCCCCGATAATTTATCTATCAATTGACAAAAGTTTTAGGAAGAACCGACGCGCGCAATTATTTTTCCACATGCGTTTTAAAGCAGAAATGTTTTTGGGCAATTGTAAAGATTTGTATGACTGTAACTGACATTATTGAAACAAAAGTATTTTTGTAAATTTCGCCTTGTCCGAGTCAGGCTCGAAAATAGTGTATTACAAATGCAACTATATGAAATAAATAATATGTAGAATTATATTAAAAACATATAATATGAAACTGTGTTATTTTCCCCGGTTTAACTTTGCGCGAAACAAAATTTGCACCAATTACCTTGATTTCCATAAACAATTGTGAGATAATATAATTTTACGTTGTGCAATTTTCAAATTAGAATGCATTAGAAATTAAAACAGGAGCACGACTTTAATGTAGATATGATCATTTCAAATCGACTTATCTCGTAACAACGTAATTTGCGCGGTGGAAACGTACATAGCTACCGCTTCCATTATCCATTATCTTCCTAATGTGAAATTATGCGTGCGGCACACGCAGCTGCCATAAATATCGCATCACGCACGATTATAGCTAACGCGCCATTCTATATGTACAGAATACATCTCCTTTTCCTTTCTCATATTTTTCACGTATTCCCGGATTATTTCACAGCTGCACTATGAATAATAGCGCTACACAGACGATGGCGTTCGATATGACACGGCGGGCGCGTGAAATAAGGCGAAACACGATGCGTAACGTACAAATTGCTTCCCCTGGCGAGACAGGGACCGAAGGATATGGAATGCGCGGAAGAATGGCCGAAGATGCACTCGGTTCTGTATTAAAAGATTCGTTCGAATTCCGCGTTTCCTTTCCGCTCTCGGCGCGTTCACCTCGGACAATCCAGAGTCCCTCTAATCAGAGTCTGACCAACGGGCAGTTTCGGCAAAATAATGCCGAAAGAGAAAGAAGTATATTTCCCTCGCACTCCACGTACAGCATATGCGTCATGTAGAGTGAGAGGGAATATATTTCTTTCTCACTCGCGTCATTCCTAGACTGGCCTGCTGGCCAGACTCTGATTAGAGGGTATCTAGGACAATCTATGCACGGCGGAATCTAAATGGCTCGCCTAAAAACGAAAGTTTGCGCGCAACATCAAATGACTTTTTTACGTCTCGCCAATAGACTAAGCGCCGCGCGCGACAACTCGCGTCGAGTGAATTGAAATTAATCTTGTAATCGGCAGCCGAGTATCGCGTCGAGATGGTTATCCGGTAGTTTACAGAATGATGACGTAAATGTTGATTGAATCGATCACTACGCAGAGAGAGAGGGACGAGTCGACAGGGGGGGGAGGTCTCTCGAATGCATTTTCTCGCGCAAATAGAGATTCTACTGCGAACAAATAAGAAGGGCTGACTTTTTGCTATTGTTCCCATATTTCGCGATCCTCGCGTAACAGGCTGTTTTGGTACTCGAAGTCTGCGTGTCTAGGAACATCCGTACACGTAGAATATGTACCGTATCAAATGGGCTTCCAACGAGATGCACGCGCGCCCGATAACATTTTCGTATGAATTCTTGCTAAAAGTATCCGCGACAGCAGCGTACAACGGGGTAAACAGGACAATGATACTTCTGCAGAAATTTCTGTCCCAGCTGCTGCATAAGCTACTCGATTTTGAGTTTTTTTTGTATTCTGCGATACGCGAGATTAGCCTGGCGTTATGCGAAACATTAACCTGTTAATTGATTAAATTTAAAAAAAAATTCAGTTCACTCGTCGCGTATTTGCAGCTCTATTGTTGCGTTTATTTTTAAAACTAATTTTCCCCGATTAAGTGTCTTTGTCTTAAAGATCCATACGCGAATCGTTATCGCTCAATCGCACCTTCGTCGGCGGGAAGAAACGTGGCGTAATATTGTTATAGTTTAACGGCAAGGAAATTGACAATATTGAGTTACGATAATCAGCTTAACCGTCACCTTTTATTATAATTTTGTTTTAATTGGACAAACTCGTCATCATTCGACGGATTTAAATAGGAGGAAATTTTCAAAATTAGATCTCTAAAATTGAGCATTTTTGAAATTGTCTCTCCAAGTTGCCATATCTATGCGGACAGCGAGTATATGAAATTAATTAGAATGCGACAAATGTATGAACCGAAACAATTTCGTTGTAATTCGAGCTATTAATTTTCGATTATCCGATTTCTCATTACCCCGTGAATATAACGATATGTTTGAATGAAACTTGTAACTGTAATAAAAGATCTTTAATTACATTGACATTCAAAACCCATTAAAAAGTGACATATCGAAAATGACTGCGTAAAATAAACGAAAATGCAGCTTGACGCGAAATAATTTTGATTAATAATTATCTTCTGAAGTAAATTATGACCTTCGCAATGCTTCCTGATCTAAATGTGACACTTCATCTATAGCCGACGCAATTAAAATGGTAAACGATGACTGCAAGCGAATAGGACGGGATAGTTGTGGAAAATTAAACAGACAAGAGAAAACTGCGGGAATAGAACAATTTTCAGGAGGAAGAAGAATCTGACAACTGGTGACAACACAAAGCTGATTGAAGCTCAATTAAAAAAAAAAGAGTTTGAGATCTTATAACAGGAATAACAGGATCAACACAAGTATTAAAGAAAAGAAACCGCAATAATACTTCGTTGTCAACGGCTATGCGGGGTTGATACGAGCATCGCCATGTGAAAAGTTAAAATGCAACTCCGGAATACGTAAACCGGGTCGCAGTCATTTGTTTTGCGAAAGTAATGTTCGCAATTAAAGCGCTACATAGCGCAACGTACACAGCTTTAATTATTTTCAAGAAAAGAAATTTTCTTGAAAAACATTATAATGGAGAATATTGCATTTAAATTTCATTAGGAATTTAATTTTTGCGCGCCAAGCGCAGCGCATGATTAGACAATTTTTAAGGGGTGAGAAAATAAAAAATCTAAACCAAGCAAATCGTAGAGGGTCGTAAAGAAAAATGCGGGGATATTAAAGAACTTCTCCGATACATCTCGTGTCTTTATTTCACGAGCGTTGATGCTCCTTCGGATTTTTAATCGAGCGTGGTCGTAAGTTGTTTTAAGGCACTGCCGGAAAAGCCAGAAAGTTGTCAATAACCTATCCGCATTTTATTAATATTAAAAAGTTTCACTGGCATAAATTACTTACCGCGCGTCGTACTCGTCAACATTGCTGCGAAGAGTACACGAGAAGCCGCGATTTTCCATCCGGAAACTTTGTTGAAAATTGCGAGTAGCTTATTATCGAACTTCCGCCGGGAAAATAAGTTGTTATGGATATTAAATATCGTAACATTCTTCGTCGCGCAGAAATGTCGAGCCCGTGGCCCGAATTAGTAGCTTTCGACATACGATCCCTTTGCCCGTAACAAGCAAGTCTTATTAATCCCAGCGTCGTGTCGCTATTTCGAGATAATTCGGGTAATTTTCGCGCTGGGGCTTCCCATTCTTCGAGGGCCGTTTTTCGCGTTAATACCGTTACAGTGATAGTTCACTCCGGAAAATGGCGAAGCTCTCATTCATTTTTTACTCTCTCGCGGAAATTAAATTTCTATTTTTTATATTTAGAGGCGGACAGTCACTTAATTAAATTATTTTAATTCGTTAAAAATATTGTTCGGCTATGTTCAGGAAATAGTTAAGGTAAATTCTTTTGTCAATACATTAATAAATATTTGTTAGTTAAATAACTGCAAACGTTTTTAGCGTACGTAACATGTTTGCTATGAAATGCATACGCGAGTAGAGATGCAGGTTGAAGCGTTGGAAAATAAACTGATGGCGAGAGAAGGAAAAATAAACTATCGATTACTGCGGTGATTTGAGCAATTTATCTCATAAATAGCATCGCACCGCGCAATTATTTACTCCCTATTGGTCAAGCGTTATTTGACAATAATTTTGCGCATCATTTCGTGCACGCGCACATCGAACGATGCAAAAGCGTATTTGATGAAATTCACGCAATACCAATAATTACCTGGAAGAATATTCATTTATTAATGATTATTAATTTGTGCTTATTAGGCTTAACATTTGGGATAAATTGTTCTATTCTGCATATATCGAATTTACTATTTTTTTTTATAGATTTTTGTTGTATTTGTTTCATAAAGTTTATGTACGATAATAAATTATAAGACTTATTTTCCCAATTTTTATTACGAAATATTGCATACATTTATATCTAATATATAATAACTACTTTTTTGTAAATTAAGGCATAAGAAATATTAATTAGCGAAGCGAATAAAACGTTTCATTAGGTTATCGGTTTAATTAATAAAAGTGTAAATTAAAAAAAATTTACAGCACATTTACGTAACCAACTATTAAATAGAATCTTAATCTTTCATAGAATTGTGTTAAAAATATGCATGATAGAATAATTCCATATTTTTCCCTTCTTTTCCGAGATTTTTCACGCGCTAGAAATTCGTGGCAAATGAACTTCGTATTGCTCAATCCACGCATATCGCGCATGTAATCGTGCATCCGAAGCGTCGACTAAACTACTGCTGCAATGTATCAATTGAGGTAATATTAACTACATGTTTAACTCGTCGCGCTAGAATGCACTTTGCACGCGTTCACTCAGTACGTTGATAATGACAGCCTCATTTACGTATATCGC